GCTGTTCCGTGAAATGAAAAGAAATTAAATGAAATGCCGGAGCAAAGCAAGGGATATCGGAGAGCTCATCTCAGAGAAAGGACTGAGTGGCATGTCGGCATTATCAGCATACAGGCTTAAAATAGAAGTGAAGATTGAATCCAGAGTAAAATGGCTTTAGGGGGATATACTGTCATACTGATGGAAGTGTCACCATCAGATAGTCCATAGTAGGTTTCAGAAAAGCTATACTTTCCCATACAACATGTCATTAACTTATGAAATCCACAGCTACAAGGTGACAAGGAGCACTAGCTTAGATGGCTTTTTTAAAATGACAACAACCACAACAATGAAACAACAAATTACAAGGCAAATCCATGGAGTAGATCCCAACCAACAGACCAGAGCAGAATGGGATCTGGATGAAGCTCCAGTTTACAATCCTTTCCTTTGGTAAGGGAAGCAGAAGTCCTTCCATTCTACTTCAAGACAGTTCTATGACCTCCTGAACTGTAATTTGGAATATAATTCTTCACTAATTTTCTTCTCAAATAAAGCAACAAGTGATTTTAGCTATTTTCTTCTTGGCAAGAGAAAGTCTTCAGAAACTCCACAGTTTCCAAGACTATTCAGAACATAACCTACACAAAAATACTATGTTCAGAACATAATCTACACAAAATCCACAGGTGCTATTTTTAATTATTATTATTATTATTATTATTTATACCCCACCCCTCTGTCAACAATCCGGATGGCTAACAACAATAAAAATTCCATATAGCATATAAACCAACAACCCCAAAACACACCCACCCCTTAAAAAGGTATTAAACTAGTTATCAATTAAAACATCTTAATTAAAACAAGATACAATGATTTCAAAACACAAAAATACAGTAATATAAAGAACACCATAGTAGCGGCAGCATCCGAATTGCGAGAGAGCGGGATAAGGGGGCTCCTGAGGCCGGGAAATCTAGTCTGGAAAGGCCTGCCAGAAGAGATCCATCTTAACAGCTTTTTAAAAGCTGCTTAAGGTCTTAATCTATTTTTGTGTATTTCTGCATAGAGAATGCTCTTCCCTGTACAGAAAGCACTGTTTTCTGCATAAAACCACCATGGCCAAACTATGCACAGAATAAGTTCAGAACTGCAAAGATTCTCATGAGTCTGGGATTATTCTTATCAGAGTTTCTCAATGATCAAGCAATACATTTATCAAATATTTTCAAATATTCTCCCCATCCTTACTCTGAACTTAAAACCTGTTGTGTTAAATTTACTATCTTTTTTCCTTCTTTCTCCTTCCCAGACACTTTTCCATTTGTGTTATCCCTCTTGTACTATAAGTCCAAAGACAGGAACTATCTCCTTTTTTTTTTTTTTTTTTTTTTTTTTTTTTTTTTTTTTTTTTTTTTTTGTCTTTGTAAGCTCCCATGGGATCCTTTTTGGTGAAAGGAGCATGGTAAAACTTTGGCAAATAAAGCTCCAAATGACAGTTTATTGGGGAAAATGATACTAAATCGGGACATATGGATGCTTTCAACCCATGTTTCCTAGAAGCATGTAGATGAGCACTGTTGGAAGTGGAAGAAGACTGTGGATTCCTTGGTGTAACCCAAGTAGACTAATACTTGCCTTCTTAGGAAGAGTTGCTTAAAATACATTGCCAGATGCAGAACTTGAAAATATCATATTGAGACTAAAATCCTATAGGTGACATATTCTGGTGTACCCTCCATTAACACTAGGATATGAATGTGGTGGGACATCACAAAAGGAGGTATCCTGTACCTCCTTCCTCAACATCTCCCATCCTAGGTGGGTGGTAGCACCAGGGTGCTCCTACATGCAGCTCCATCCACCACCCATAACTGATCAGTTGATGTATTCTGTGTTTGGCTTCTCTGAGAAAACAGAGCAGAGAGAGGGACTTCTTTCTTCCCCAACTCTGTAGGGTCATGGAGAACAGCACAGGCTCACTGCTACTACAGCTGATCAGTGGCTCAAGAACAGATCTGCAACCAAAGTCCCACTGCCCCCACCAGCTGTTATTGTACCCCCATGAAAGCAGCAGAGAGAAAGGATAATCTTCTTCTCTCTGGACAATTGGTTCAAGGATACTGGAGATGATGTATGCACAAGGAGTTGCCCCTTGTGAAATTTCCAGTCAGTCTCTTGTGTTGGTTATTTACTTTAAAGCCCTACATGATTTGGGTCCAGGTTACCTATGGGATCGCCTTCTGCCATATAATCCACCCCATACACTCAGGTCCTCTGGAGGATATTTACTCCAAACAGCCAAGACTAGGTTGGCAACTGTCAACTAGAGGACATTTCCATCAGCCACCCGTACACTGTGGAATGACCTGCCAGAAGAGATTCAACAGCTAAATATGCTGTCTGAATTTAAAACAGCATTGAAGACCAGTCCCTTCCAGCAGACTTATCCAGATAATTTTTAAACTGTGAATTTTAAATAATGAATTTTTAATGTGGATTGTTTTAATATGTACACATCTTATTTGTCCTTTGAAATTGATTCAAAGATATAGCCGTGTTAGGCTGTAGAATCAGTACATAGAGAGAGCTTGTAGCACCTTTGAGATTAACTGAAAGAAAGAGGTTGGCAGCATCAGTAGCATCACTGAGGGGGTGCGGGCCACACTGGGTGACACTCCAGAAGGGGGGTGACACTCGGTCAGTTCCCCACCCCCCATGGGAGCTCCTGGTGCTCCTCAGACCTGCCTGGGTGCTCCTCAGGCCCATGCAGGTGCTGCTCAAGACCATGGGAGCTTCTTGAAGCCATGCAGGAGCTTCTCAGGGCCATGCATGGGTGCTGCTCAGGACAATGGGTGCTGCTCTACCCCCCCCCCAAAGCTTCTTGAGGCTGCACAGGTGCTGCCCACAGCCACATGGGTGCCCCTCTGAACATACGAGTGCTCCTGTATGTTCCCCCATCCTGGAAACCACACCAGAATTATCAGTGCTGGAAATCCCCCCCCCCCCAGAAGTCCTGCCCCCTGCACTGGGTGTCACCTAGTGTGGGAACACCATTGAGCAGCATGAGCTTTCATAGACTAAAGTCTATTTCCTCAGATGCATATAGTCTATAAATTGATGTGTGCTTTAATTGGGTTTTTTCAAACCGATGTTGTTTTTCTATACATTGTTGCTGTTCCCTCCTTTGATCCAAAAGGAGAGGAGAGTATTATTATTATTACATCACAAGAGTTCCTCTCCAGGTCTCAGGTTTTGTCCCCCAAATCTCCGTGCCTGGGGTAGTCCTGACCCAGCAATCCTAGCCAAGCACTCCCAGCATCCCCCAGCCAGCATGCCTAATCCCCATTGGATGTAATATACAGAAACGTTCTGGGATAGGCATATCCCAGAATGAAGGAACAAAACCAATTCATCTTTGGCTCTCTTGTTTCTCCCTGCAGAGATTTATCCCTCTTTGGTCCTCTTCTTTCTTCCCATGGTGATTTGTCTTACTCTTTTATTATCTGGTGAGTTGTCGTCCCTTTTTGTGAGCTATTGTTAGACCTTACTTGTCTCCAAAGCCTGCAGTGGAGCATTCTCATTAAGGGAGGATTAGCATGCCACTCCACTGTTTTCCCTTCTCATGTGTTTTGTTTTTCCAGACGTGATTAAAGCTGCGGCAACCTTCATTACAAGGAGTAGAAAGGCGAGATCTCGATTGGTGACAAAGCTGCCCTGGCAGGACGGGCTGTTCTTTCAAAAGGAAATCAATAAAAGAAGGCAAACAATGAAACTTGTACATTGTGTGTCCAAGCCTGGCCCTTCCTACGCCATAGGAGTGATAAAGAGAATGAAACAGTGGAAAAGAGAAGAGATGCATTTCCACTCTTGCTGGATGTTTTGGATCTCACAAGACATTGGATTCACTCTTCCACACACAAACACACAAGCACATGCATACCTGAAATCTTGGTGTCAGGAGAAGCATAGAGGGAAGCCATGCATTACCCAGTTCATTCTTCTTTTTCTCTCCCTTTTTCTTTATATTTCGCTGTCTCCACAGGTTTTCTGTCAATCATCTTGCCCCAATTCCCCTCAAGATCCCATCCCCTTGGACTGAGTACCTGGGCCTCTAGGTGATCCCTATAGGGACCAGTGGATGTGTTGTTTAATGGGTTCACTGTGGTACACAGGAGCAGACTCTCTATCCAAATGTAATAGGAACATCCAGACACAGTTATAAGCAGAAGTTTATTAATGCACAATTAGAACACACATTAACCCCTAGGCTATGTAATACACAGCTCCCAAAAATCTTATCCAGTTCTTCCCACTGGCTGACTCTCCTATCTCCACTGTTCTCTGCCACAAAGAGGCCTGTGATCTCCCTGGAATGGAGACAGATTGGATTGCAAAAGAGGGGTCCCTGTTGAGATGAAAATGGATTTTAAATTTCCTGGACTTTGCGAATCTCCCTATAGCCACAGGGCCAGAAGGAGGAGGATCCTGCATGCAAAAGATATCCTCCCCACCATAGACCACCTTAACTAAAGACTGAAACAACATGTAGGCATCTGACTAACATCTCCAATTGTTTTTCTCCTGTTTGGTTTGTAACATCTTGGCCTGATGAAGAAGCCAGTGGAGCTTCGAAAGCTTGCAACAAGTATATTGTGAATTTTCGTTTGCCAATAAAGATATCACTGATGGATTTTTGTTTGAACTTGCTAAATGGCCAACACAGCTACCCTTGAATGTCCTATTTCTGTTATAGCTTTCCCCTATCTCTCTGTAATCCTTTCCCCATCTCTCTGCAATCTTTCCTCAATCTCTCTGCACTCTTTTCCCATCTCTCTGCAATCTTTCCTATATCTCTCTGCAATATTTCCCCATCTCTCTGCAATCTTTCCCCATCTCTCTGCAATCTTTCCTCTATCTTTCTCCTGTCTCTCTGAAATCATTCCTCGATCTCTGTGCTACCTTTCCCTGATCTCAATGCCATCTTTCCCCTATCTCTCTGCCATCTTTCAAGAGCCAGCATGGCATAGTGGTCTGAGTGTTGGACTGTGACTCTAGAGACCAAGGATCAATTCCCAGCTCAGCCATGGAAACCAACTGGGTGACACTGGGCAAGTCACATGGTCTCAGCCTCAAGGGAACGCAATGGCAAACCTTCTCTGAACAAATCTTGGCAAGAAAACCCCATGATAGGGTCGTCATACAGTTTCCATAAGTCGGAAATGACTTGAAGGCACACAAACAACAGCATGCCATCTTTCTCCTATCTCTGTGCAATCTTTTCCTTATCTCTCTGCATTCTTCTCTTATCTCTATGCCATCTTTTTCTTATCTGCCTTCTGTCAGAGACAAACCTCAGTTTTGTATCCTTTCTCCTCCTTCATAGCATTCCCTGAGCTGTTGTTTGTCTCCAGCCAGGCTTGCCTCACTTCTCGTCACATTCACCTTTTCTTCAAAACTGGGAATGAAGATGGCTTACATAAATTAAAAGAAAGCACACACACAAAAAGAGTATAGGACCAAGGGCACATCCCATGCATCCTAGGCTGCTGCCGCACTGCAGAATTAAATATCTCCATCCTGTGGAATTCTGGGATTTCCAGTTTGTTGTGGCGCTACAGCTCTCCAAGCTCTCACAAAACTACAAACCCAAGAATACCATAGCACTGAGCCATGGCCGTAAAAGCAGTGTCAAACTGCATTAATTCTGCAGTGTAGATTCATCCCTAACAATTTTTTGGTATGATCAAAAATGTAGTGCTACAAAATGAGCCTCGAAATATTGCTTTGGGGACTGCAGCTTCCAGAACCTCCCAGTCAGCAGGACCAATTGAAAAGTAAGATCTGCTGGCAAGAATGGGGTGCTGTAAACTTCAGACCTGTGTAGTGCTCTGTTCTTCTCATGACCAAGAATTGAAAGCTGCCACTTTGAGTTTTAAGTACCGGTAAGTTCCAGTTTCTCATTACATCAACACTGGGGAAAGTTTGGTCTATTCTAATTGTGATTATTTTGCTAGCCAAGATCTGAAACCTCAGTTTGTTCCTGGTTGTTATAAATTAACAACCATTAATAAGACTAAACCATAGTTTCTGGAGGCTAAAGTCTAAATGGGTTCCTAGTTCAAACCAAGGGAACACTGGATTATTCTAATTGTGATGAATCAACAAGCCAGGATCTGAAACCATAGTTTTATCCTGGCTTTTGTGAACTAATAATAGCCATTTGAAAGAATAAACCATATTCTCCCAGCTGAGATTTCTAACAGGTTTCTTGTCCTTTTGATGTAATTCTATATTTTGGAAAGCAGGCAATGTGACCCACTCAAATGATGCAAATAAAGGAACAAGAACCTTGTTTCCGAGTTACAAATTCTGCCTCTGATAATTGTTTAGAGGGGTTATATAATTGTTACTGTTTTAAAATTGCACTTTTTAAAAAAGTATCTTTTATGGGCTGCCTTGGGTCCACTTTAGGAGAAAGACAGCATAGAAAGGAAAGGAAAGGAAAGGAAAGGAAAGGAAAGGAAAGGAAAGGAAAGGAAAGGAAAGGAAAGGAAAGGAAAGGAAAGGAAAGGAAAGGAAAGGAAAGGAAAGGAAAGGAAAGGAAAGGAAAGGAAAGGAAAGGAAAGGAAAGGAAAGGAAAGGAAGACTCCAAGTGGTTTTGCCTGCTACACTTTCCAGTCCTTTGGATTCTCAGATTTCTTCAGTTCATTATTCTAGAGATGCTCCTTTTGAAAGCTACTCTTAGCATGAGATACATTTTCAAATTATTCAGTTGTCTGCATTTTTACTATTATATTCACAGCAGCTTTGATAACATCAGCCACAATGAAATACAACCTCAAAACTGAAAGTGAATGCTACTTAAAGAGCAGCAACATAAATCATATAAGATCAGGATTTTGGCAAATACTGTTGGAATAAAATGATCTTCAACCATTTAGTGAAGATAGGAACAAAACAGGAATACACCTCTCAAAGATGCTCCAAAGTTTGGATGCTACTGCCTCAAAAAAGCAGTTTGTGCTGGACCATTTTTCTTTTGCTTGTCGGTTTGCTTTCTTTTCCCATTTCTTGCTATTGGAATAATTTTTGAAATGCATATGCCTACCAATATAAAAACAAGAAAGGAAAGAATCGATCTGGAAAAAGAAAGAATCGATCTGGAAGTATCCTGCCTTTCTCCCAATAATGGGACTCAAAGTGGCTAAATGCCACTTTGAGAGTGGCAAGACCAAGAGAAGGATCTCCCTTGAAGATCTCTGAATCCAAGCAAGGAGAATATGGCCCTCCAGAGAGTCTGCATGTACTCTGTAGGGTTTTATAAGTCATCGCCAGCATTTTGAAATGTGCCCAATGCCAGTAACAGACTAGCAGAGAGTAACAGTGTAGTCAAAAGCAACTATCATAAGCTCTCTCACAGCTGTAGTGTGCAACTACAATCTAGGTTTGCTTGGAAGGAACTAATCTAAGAACATCTTTATTAAAAAATATCTGAGGCTGCTGCAAAAATAAATCAGTTTGACACCACTTCAACTTCCATGGCTCAATGCTATGGAATTCTGGGATTTATAGATTTGTGAGATGTTTAACCTTCCCTGTCAGAGAGGTCTAGTGCCCCCACTAAACTACAAATCCCAGAATTGCTTAGCATTGAGACATGGGCGCTAAAGTGGTGTCAAACTGCTTTATTTCTGCAGTGTGGATACACCTTGAGAATCTGGATGAGGCTAGAAACCTTCAGCATTATAAGAAGGGCAGGAGCTCTGACCAGTGTTGGAAACAATATCCATAATTTTGAAACATAACTGCTTCCTTGGATCTAGATGTGCTTGAAAATTTTGTTTTTTATGATTCCTAGGTTGTTTATCACTCTGCTGAAAAACCCTTTGGATCTTTGACATTCATTTACTACCTGGATCTTGACTATGGACTACTCTCACTCCCCAATCTCCCAGTAACTGACTTTGCTCAAATATGATTCATACATCCATGGCTCTATTCATTTGAGCTCCACTTTAGCAGAATGGTACATAAAGTCAGAGGAGGGTAACAAGGGAATCCTGTGATCCAATAACCAGTCCCATAAGCTTATAGCACGGCACTTAAGGAACGGGAACGGAACAGGTCAAAAATGCATTTTACTGCATGGGAGAACACCAGCAATACCACCAAGAGTCCCCAAGGTGTTCCCCAGCCGTTCCTGGCAGCTGATTTTGAAGAATGATTTTGAACCGTCCTTCAAAAATCGGCTGCCAGGAACAGCTGGGGAATGCCTTGGGGACTCCTGGCAACATCAGTGGTGTTCTCCCGTGCAGTAAACTGCATTTTTGCTCCATTCCGTTCTCTTCTGTTCTGTTCCCGTTCTTGTAAGTGCTGGGCAATAGGCTTACCAGTGTCCTACCTACCTTTATCAGACTGCAGTGTAAGCTGAACATGGTTCATGAGCCTCCAAAGTAGATGGATGTGGACATGTTCCAGATACAGAATTCTGTAAAAAATATCAATTCCTGTACTTTTATGGAAAGCTTAGAAGATGCATTGCTAAGGACACTAGGCAAGAGGTTTAATGTCTTTCTTCTTGAAGAAGAAAAGAAGAGACACACAAAAATACATGGTTCCATCCATCTATAGCTAATTCCAGTGTTACCTAGTGATTACACCAGGTAGGGATAATCCATGGCATTCCAGACATTGGACTCCAATCTTCCTCAGCCTCATCCATCATGGTAAATGCTCAGGGATGATGGGATGTGTAGTCCAACAACATCTGGAAAGCCACAGGTTTCCACCCATCCCTAGACTAAACTATATAATGATCTGATCCACACATTGCAAAGATCAACCACAGAATATGTGTGCTGTGAAAAGAGGAGCAGAACTGTCTCAGTCTCCCATCTGTCCTATATTTCTGGCTATAATCATGCAATGAGTTGTTCTTTCCACTAACAAAACTGGTATGTAGTTTCCCAGGGACCAATTTTGGTTTTATAATAGTGATGAGAGATTTGGTTTTGTCTGTTTGTTTGTTTCAGCAAGGAAGCAGTTATGGTTCTAAATAATTCTCTAATAACAGTCAAAGCCTCATTGAGGGTGAACAAACAGAAGTTTATTATGCCACACAAGACAGTCACATACAAGACAGCTTAGGGCGATACAAACTGGCACTTTGAGCCAACGTCGGGGCAAAGTGGAGGTGTGGTGACCGCATGCTGCATGCCCAAACACAGCCCTGACACTGGCGTCATATCACTCACCCAACCAAATAGCAGGCGGCATCACACTGCATCTTCAGCACAGCATTTAGATGCGCTGTGCCAAAGAATTGGTGAAAAGCCACCACCACGGCAGCAAAGGCACTCTTTTGCTGCTCTAAAAAGGAGCAGCATTTTGCCAGTTCTTTTTAGAGTGGCAAACTGCCAGATCGGGACTGTGGTGTGCGGTTGCCGTGGCCCCGATCCAGTGAGGAAAGGGGCAGCCAGAGACCACTATATCAGGGCCGTCTTCCCCTTAGTTTCCAGATCTTTCACCATCTTTATTGCTCTTCTCTGGACACTTTCTAGCTTGTCAATATCCCTTTCAAATATGATGTCCAGAACTGGGCATAGTATTCCAGGTGACATCTAGCCAAAACAGAACAGAGTAGTGCTACTATCTATCTATTAATCATCTATTTATCTATTCATCTATTACTAACCCCTGTTGATGCATCCTAGAATTGCATTGGTTTTTGGCTGCCACATCACATTGTTGACTCATGTTTAGCTTGTGATCTACTCAGAGCTTGAGTTCCTTTTCACAAATACTGAAGTATAACAAACACTAACAGGATTCTATCTAAGAGTCTGGCTATAATCCTAGGTTGCATCAATAGGGATATAGTGCCTAATTGAGGGAAGTAATAACGCCACTTCTAATCTGCTTTGGCCAGACCTCATCTGGAATCCTGTTCTGGGCACCACAATTCAAGCTGTTGAAAAGCTGGAACATGTCCAGAGGAGGATGACCAAAATAGTGAACGGTCAGGGAACCATGAAGCCCTATGAGGAGAGGCTTAGGGAGTTGGATATGTTTTGCCTGGGGAAGA